GGCGCGTATGGGGAAAGATCTTAAAACGGGAGGATGACACACGGGGTAGGAACACATATCCAAAGTCTTAGCCTCCCGCTTTTCTGGTTGCTGAGATGAAAGTGGGTGACAAAATGCACTCGCTTTCCGAACACACACACACATACACACAGACAGCCTCTCGACAATATGCATTTTTGCTGGCTGTAGCAGCACCATAGCGCTGCTGTGGCGCTGCACAGCAAAAACGCATAAAAAAAGAGAATGGAGCGATTATCCCCAACGCTCCATTAGGGGACTTGGGGAAAAATACCTGTGATAGTTTTTGTTAATGTAATTTTAAATTTAAATTTAGATGGTTTATGATTATGAAAGATTGTAAAAAGATAAAAATGGAAATATGAATAAAATAAAATTAAAATCTGAATGGAAATGTTTCAGTCCATCAAGTCGCATACATTCCTATTCAGTGCTACAACTGGGCCTAGTCAGTGTGACGGTTGCAGGGGAAATATAGGTAACGTGAATTTGCTAAAAAGGAAAGTGAAATGGAAAATGAAAGTTAAACATTGGAAATTGAAAAATCAAAAGTTAAAAAAGTTTTTTATAAAAAACGTTGCCTCCACCATTATATGCGTTGATTTGACGAGAAAATAGCTGTAAAGTCAAAATATAATATTATCTTAGCCGACGGATCTTGTCCATCGGCCGATCAATTTTTTTTAGCCGTTTTGTGTGCTATTTAATATTATCTGATGATTTCCAAAGGATGGGGAGGGGGAAATAGCTGTCCACCCCGCCCTTCTTGCTGACAAAATTCATTCGCTTCCCTTTTGGGCGGGCAGACCGGTTGCCCGCAGAAAGTCCTGTGCAACCTCGACACACCAGCCTCGACACCAGCATCATCACCTGCTTCGACATCTGCCTCGACACCAGCCGTCGACACCTCGAAACCAGCCTTTACACCAGCATTGACATCTGCCTCGACATCAACCTTGACACTAGCTTCAAACTTATTTCGCATTCTGTACTTGAGGTTGCTGCAGAGGATCATTTATTCACCTGATCGGACCGAGAATTTGAGCCGGGCAACCTGCGAAAGGTTTGCAATTGTTGGGTTAAGCTTCCCGACACACGTCAACTTTTTGCAAAGTTGCGTCGGCATCAGTTGTCGTAGAGATAAGTTTTGTGCAAAAGAAAGCTGATCATTAGTTTTCAGTTCAATGCCGGAAGAGGAGCAGTTTTCGCAGCAAATGGAACCAACGAATTAGATGCTGGCATCATGGATGGCTTTACAGGAGCTGTTGGTGGTGTGTCTACTGTAAAAAGGTGCTTTTTTAGCATTAACCAGTACATATTTGGTAAAGGAAGATTTAGGCTTGTGCCGGAGGCTGTTTTTGCTCATTAGTGGTGTTCCGGGATGGATTTCTTCTTTATTGCATTTAAAATCATGGAAAAGAGAAAGGCCGATTTTTTGTCAATAATGTTAAATTTTGGCTATCTTAAATTTATTAATTGAGGGAAAACACTGAAGACCCTCTCTAGAGGAACTGAAAAAAATGATGGTTAACAAAATTATCAAATCGTCTAGACTGTCACTACAGTACGTTGATTTTACTGAGATTCTTTCGCGGATCAAGTAGAGTCATTCCCGTTTCCTTATACTGAGTTCTGTTCTCTGCCTGCACCGCTTTTTCATCGGCCCTTCTAGTTGGTTCATTTCTCTGTGAGGAATGCTGGGTAGTTGGCAAAAAACCCCTGGTAGAAACGTGCAGTAGGATTTCCGGTACGATCATGCGTTTTTAATTCAAATTTAAGCAGCTAGCTCGTTAAAAATATGAATTGTTGTTGCTTCACAGTTTAACGTGTGCATTCGCATTTCGATTTTCTCATAAAGGAAGGGAGGGAGTTGACTGGGAAGGTAGTGTTGCATTGTGGGACCACGTGAAATCTTAACCTCCAGCATGCATGATTGTCGTAAATCTTGCGTAAAGGGAAGTGAAAGCTTTGCTGCCACTATTCATTTATTGAAAAGCAAAATGAACAATGAGTGGGATGTGGGGAGAGAAGGATGACGAAATCTGAGCAGACTACGTTCGTTTTTGAAGTTGAGACAGAGCTGAACATTTGTTATGTTGCTGTGCAAGGAGTTTAGCCTCAAAGCTGAAGTTAGACTAGATGTAAGTATACGCTGTCATTGTAAAATCTCAGCTTCTTGGTTTGATCAATATTGGAAGTCGCCACTTCGCCACAAATATCTTCAAATTGCCAAAAGGTGTGGCGTAAGTACAATTCGAAACTTTATTTCGACATACGAGTCCCGAATGAACGATAGATATTGAGGGAAAATTACAGCTGCCGTCTCCACTTAGTGCTCAAGTTGGCGTTGTGCACATTGCGAAATTTGACAATAGTTGCATGTGTAATATAAGTGTAAGCGATAACTGATTTGAAATCTTTAGCTCATAAATGCGCGGCGAACCTCCTTGCATAGTTTTCGTCTTTTTAGGCTCACGAAATCGTTTCCTGCCAAAAATTTACACGTTTTCTTTCATATGTCCATATATGGGACGCAGGCGTATTTAAATATGGATTTTAAAGCGGAAAATTGTGCATGGTGTAAGAATATGCCTCTAAAAATTTAGCTTCCTGGCTTTTCCGGTTGTTGAGTTGAAAGTGGGTGACAAAGTTCACTCGTCTCCGAACATATCCCCACAAATACAGAAACCTTCCTGCAATATCGATGAAAATGAGGTAGTGTGGAAATCTCTGTTATTTGACAAGCAGCAATTCCTTTCGAGGACTGTTAATTTTTGGTAACTTATATTTTGTATAGTCGAGAAACTCTATTATTCGGTGGACCGCAACGAACTGATAAACGGAGCTTTTTCCAGCTGCGCTCACGGATGGGTGTATTTCGATAGCACAACGAAATTGCACACCGACATTTCGGGCGCTTATGATAACTTTGCTGACTTTCTATTTTGATAACCTTGAAATTATCTAAACTAGCTTATTGTTTTAGGAAAACTTTCATTGTAGGATAATGAATCCAATAATTGCGGCGAAATTCGTTATGCAGCATTCGAAACACTCCCTGCTGTGTGGTGAAGGAGCTGAAAACTTTGCATTTAGGCATGGATGTCCGATGGTATCAAATGAATACTTTTACACAAAAACGAGGTTAAAAATCCTCGAAATTTGTAACATATATGGCTTCTCGAAATTTTTTTTCTGTTAAAATACATCCTTACAAAGTTTAATAAGTGTTTTCTGTTAAAATACGTCCTTACAAGCCTTGGTCGGTGTAACAGTCAACCACTGGTACGCTGAGATTCCAAAAAAAGAGAAGCTTATATTTGGTTTTGAAGCTCTCTGATGAATTTGCTTGCTGTTCCTGATTGTGCACATCACCTACTCAAAAATACTACTCTCTGTAGTATTTTTGGACTTACCTGTTTGATTTAGAGTACAAATTTAGCTATTATCTACAATTTTTGTGCCTTCATGACACAGTTTTGCACGTTCTGGCGCGTACAGTTTTAATCTAGGTTGTTATTAATTTTTCATATATACTGTAAGTCTCAGTTTTTAATATTTCCAATATATTTTGCTATTTTTATCTAATGTTTGCTCGTGAAATACCGTTAATGGTGCTGTTTAAGACTAATAGTCTTAGCATTTAATTCTTATTAAACAAATATTATGAAACGTTGGCTGAATTTTGAGCCACCTTTCCATCTCATTCTGTCAATTTTGATGCCCTCCCTCCCCGCTCTCTTGCCCACGCTAAATCAAAATGCTGGTCATCACATCGTTCGATAAATGGACTGTATAAAAGTTTGATTAAATTTTGCAAGTGGGGTTTTTTCCATTACAGTTCCTGTTTAGATTCGATCAGTTGCATATGGTGCTAAAGAAA